GAAATGAAAAGTTGATTATCAGCATCAATCCTCTCAAAAACTGGAATTCCAGGAGCAGGGTTTGCCTGTTTTATGACGTCTGGTACTCCTACACGGTTGGTTCTCAAGGTTCCGCATGCACCTAAACTTACACCTTCAAGGGATGAAAAAAGAGCTGGGGAAGAAAAATAGTTATCCATGTACACATGATGTTTCTTACCTGTGATTGGTTCACACACCTTCATTACTGTCCTTTGTGTAGCACCAGGCCCATCTTCACCTCGACCGATATACAAATTCTGGTTGTACACATAACCAGTTCTGGAATCGGCCAAGGTCCACACTGTCATCCCTCGTTTATGCGGCTTCATCGGATGGTAGGTCTTGAAACTTACCCTACCTTTGAAAGCAATAACACTTTCATCCACTGAAACATTCCTAGATGGGTAAAAAGCACTTTGAAAATTAGTCATCAAATGTTCCATAAAAAATCTTACCTTGAATCCTTTGTCATAGTTTGGATTATCTCGGGCAGGAGCAGCGTCGTTGTCAACAAGATGCACACATCGAAGAAGTAAGTTGAAACGATTCCTCGACATAATCGAGCGAAATCCAGGCTTATTCAAAAGCCATTGCTTAGACCAGTGCAACTCATAACTACCTCGCCTATCAAGACCTAAATCTAGAAGAATAGAAATAAAAGCACGTACCTCGTTTATGTCAGTGTTCCGCCAGTCTTTCATTACACCTAACCTACCTGCATTTTGAGCAATAATCCTCTCCGCGTACCGGTTGGTCTCATCCACTATGAGCTGCAACAACTGATCGTCAATAAAATGGTGGAAGATGTCGAATATAGATGAATCCTCGTCATGTACCAAAGGTCCACAACGTTCACTGAATTCACCTAAATAAAATTATGATAATGATTAATTCAAAAGGCCTAAAGCAGATACAATAAAACAAAGACTCCCTATGCAACAAATAATCAGAATGGAAAATATAATAAAAAATGAATAATAAAACAGCAAAGGTCTAATTTATGATAATACTGATACTAAATATTTCAAGTAAATACACAGTGGACGAAAGCTAGAGAATAAATTATATATTATTAGTCTCAAAAGTGTTGCTGTTATTTACTGCTGTACAGACTAATGCGGCTATACATTTTATTCATTAAATATTTCAAAATAGCCTAAAATCAATAGAAATATAATTAAAAAAATAAGTAAAAAGAAAATAATAATCAAAATTAATTTTTTTTTAAATTAAAAAAAAAACGAAACGAAAGAGGAATAAATAAGCTCTACACCTATCTAAAAAAATCTAACTAGTCTAGGCCCAAAGATTTCCAGGACTAGGCCTAGGCCTATCCAATGAAAAAAAAAGCGATTGAAAAAAAAAATTATAGTAATAAAAATAACATGTTTGAAGAATAGAAAACAGTAATACTAGCTCCAAATAAGCATTCGTATAATGTAAATCTATAAATTTACCTAACCAAGCATCGTCATAAGCACGATCCTTCCATTCTAATCTGTCCACCATTCGTTGTGCTCTAGGCCCAATTGGTATCATCATCCTCACTGCTGCTAGGGCTTCTCTCCCGCTCGTCGTCGTCGTCGTGCCTGCCTTGAAAAATCTCGCGTTGTAATTCCTCTTCGTCGCTGTCGCTGTCATCAAAAATTAGCTGTAGGGCTTCCTCAGCGTCCATTGGGGATTTATAAATGAAAAAAACCTAAGTTGGAAAAAAAATGATCGCTTTTGAAATGATATTTCGAAAGATTTTGTAATAAGCAAAATTCTGTGTTGTCGATGCTAAGATGCAGAATTTAATTGGCTATTCAAAGAAAGCTATCCCAACATGCAATTCGTAATGGTAATAGGTGAAATTCGAGTAAATACTGGCTTCTATAATAGTTTAGGCGAAAGCGAGCGCCGGTGGTTGCGAGAGAACTTTATATATCGGTGGGGGTGAACGCAAGTGGTAGGTTAAGGGCATTGTCACTTTTTGCACAAAAGTGCTTATCTCGCCGAGTTGAGCACTTAGTGCAAATTTTTGAT